GCGCCTTCAGCATGCCCAGGATGGGCACATGAACCCGAAGCGTGACTGGTAGTCGAGGTCAATTGGATTCAGGTCTGGTCAACCAGTGAGCAGCAGATGTTGGGGAAATCCTGTTTGACGGAAACCCTCAGTCAACGATTCAGCAAGCAGCAGATGTTGGGGGAATCCTGTGTGATGGAAACCTTCAGTCAACGACTTTGAAAGCCGAATCCAGGTGCGCGCAAACCCTTAGGGATCCCTGCCCGGCCAGCAAGGGAGAAGCACAGCAGCAACAAGCAGAAGTTGTGGTCAGGCAAACCCAGGGAGGTCCTTGCCCCGCCGGAGCTACGGATGCAGACAACCATGCGGAAACAGAGGTCAGTCAAACCCTGAGGGGCCCAAACTGTGGAAGCCAGCAGAGAGATGGTAGATGAGGCCGAGCAAACCCAGAGAGGTCACTGTTTCGCCAAGATAGCAGAAACCAGCAGCAGATCAAATACAGACCTAGAGAAATTCATATTGACAGATCAACTGGGACGCGGATATCGGCGAAAACACACTGAAGCTACTCTGAAGTTTCCGATGAAACCTATCTTGGAAGGTAGTAGCGATACAATTATAAAAAACGTCAAAACTGGCCAAGATCAGATGCATCGATTGTTGAACGAAACCTGGAGGAGCTGAAGAAACGACAGTCGAAGTGTGTTACAGGCACATCCGGTGTATCTAGGAGGGATAACAAAGCCGGGTATATGACTGGTAGCTGTAGCCAAACGGAGGAACCTTCGGCTTGTTCACAAAGCAGGGGACCTTTACGGCGAACGCGCATGGAAGCTGGTTCTAGTTACCTGATGAAGCCGATCCTGAAGGTAGCAGTAACGCCGTCGGAGAGACGCATCGAAAATTGCCCAGGATAGACGTTAGCATAGGAGATCAACGTACGTAAAGTACTATTTCTTTGCTGAATCAGAAATCCAATGAAAATAACGCAATTCTGATTTCAAGAGCAAAAAATCTAATGAGATCAATATCACACTAGGTGGATAATGACAACTTTTGTCACAGAGATTGTTCAATGAGATACTACAAAAAAATGAAATCAAACATTTTGAATAATATCGCTAATAACGCACAAAAATCCACAATAGACATTGAGAAACTCTTTATGAAATTTCATAAGAAAGAAACAATTTCGCAAGATATAGGTAAAATTCAATCAACACTTCATCCAAAGATATTCACTGGACAGTTTACAAAAGCCCAACCCGTGTTTCACTATACAAATGCTCCATCGGGCGTTTTCATACTCATACTTGTATGTTGAATAGAATTAATAATTAATCAATTGAATTAAAACATTATTTTTATAAATGTCGAAAAATAAGATCTCCAATTAGCTGAATAACTTTGGACCCCTATCAAATGAACGTACATCTTCTGAAGTTTTCTGATGTCTTGTCCTATTTTTTTTGCCCCACATAACTCTTACTTCTAGATCGTCATCTCTTCTTCTTCTCTACCATGAACGCTATCTGGATATGAAAGTGCAGCAGGTGGAGGGTGTGTAAAGAGATTGATATCCTGATAGACGCCTGTGTAACGGTCATTATTAATACACCATCACGTTAATTACTATCACTTATTGCGTTATTTACGAACTTTTATTTTTTTATTTCGAATCAAGATATCAACCTTGATTATTTCTTTATCGAGCGGTAGAACATTTACTTTTATACACCGGAAGTAAGGGTTGATCATAACGTAATATCGATTTTTTTTTCAATTTGTTCATTACGAAGTAATGAAATTGCTGTTGTACTTATTTTTGTACATCGTCACTCTCATACTCATGAGCAGGTACTTATGATTCGTAGAAAAACAGATGGAGAACAAATACTCCAAGGGAACAGCTCAGGAAGCAGCTGAATAGTTGTCATTTATTCAGTCTGTTTTGTCGAATCACAATGGACGGATATATCATTCAACAACACGCGCAAATAATGATATTGTTAAAAAATCAAAATGAGTGTTCTGTTCGGACAACGTACCGCGCGCTTCGCTCATTTTACGATGTCAATAGTCGTTCTACCGAGAGAACAAGTAGCAATGTGGTTGATAAATTCGAGTCCACTGGTTCAGTCAATGGTGGACCAACACCAGTGCGTTGACGAAACGCAAGATCAGCCGAAAACATTGCCGATATCTGTGAGAGTGTGCAGGAGAATCCATGGCTGTCGATTTCACGTGGCTCACAAAAACTCGGCCTTTCGCAGACACAATTTGGCGAAATTCAACTAACGCAGAAACTGAAGGTAAACGAATATAGACAACGACGTGTGTTCTCTGAATGGGTTCTGGAGCAGTTGTCAACTGACTCTAATTTTCATCGAAAAATCATCTTCAGCCATAAGACCCATTTCTACATGAATGGGTACGTGAACAAACAAAACTGTCGCATTTGGGACGAAACAAATCCAGATGAAATTCAAGAGCGAAAAAGTTCCTGTTTGGTGTGTTTTGGGCTGGCGGCGTCATCGGTCCATATTTCTTTGAGAACGACTTTGGTCAAGCCATCACTGTCAACGGCGAGTACTATAAGTCGATGATTACCAACTTCTTCTGGCCTGAAGTGGATGATTTGGATACCAACGTCATGTGGTTTCCATAGGAGAACATGCCACACAGCTCATGCCATATTGGATACGCTGTAGGAGTGATTTGAGGGCATGGTCATCTCACGTGGAGGTGATGTAAACTGGCCACCAAGATCGTGCGATTTGAAACCATTAGACTTCTTCATTAAAAATTCAACACGTTTTTTTTCAAGAAAGGAAGTAAGTTGCCTAGAACTTTTTTTTGAAGTGCTCGATGAACATTAATAATAATAGCGACTTTATTTTCCATTTTTCATAATAAATAATTAATCTTGAAATGCTAATTGTTGGCATAATAGGAGGAGTTCAGCTTAAAAAAATGATATGACAATATTTTTTGACTATTCAATTGAGCTGCTCTTCCACTCAACCTCATAACGCGCCATATAACGAAAAAGTAAATAAATTAAAAACATTCTTAACATTATTATCGAGGGGTGGTCTGCTTCTTCAATAAAATTATTTTCAGATTCTCTTTAAACTTATCTAACTTCATCTCTTTCAAACTGTTCGGAATTTCATTGTAAATTTTTGAGATCTGATAACTGTAGGATCTTACATATTGTTGTGTTTTGTGCAATGGGGGTGTTAAAAGCCATTTAACCTCAAGTTCAATGTATGTACGTCAGTTCGGAATTTGATTTTATTATAAGTATAGATATTCTGGTGTTTTAGTTTTAATTATACTATGATATAAGCTTGCAGAGTGGAGCAACATCTGATTTTCCATATTCAACCAGTTTATATATTTCAAAGTATGGGTAATGCTTTCATATTTACGAATTCCGAAAATCAATCTCAAGCAAGAATTTTGTGTTTTTCAAAACGAAGATTCTCGTCTATAATGTGGTTTTTAGCACAATCAACCACTTCGAGTATATTTTGTCCAATTTTAATTTCCACCAGATTTTTAACAATATTTTTATTTTTTTTTGGGCCAAAGACTAAAATATTTGACTTACTAGCATTAATTTGTAGACCGTGGTTTGAAGATGAAGCTACAAATGCATTGATATCAATATTGATGCGTTCACATGCATCAGCAATGTCATTAGGATCAAATGAATGGTAAATTTGAGTATCGTTTGCATAAAGGTGCATTCAACAATATTCCAAATGATTGATAAATTGACTTGTATATAGCGAAAAGAGAACAGGCCCAAGGATAGATCCTTGGGGTAGGGTAGACCGGGGATAATTGAAACATTTTTGCTCCTTGAATTTTTTCCTCTGCGGCTATCGCAAATTTCTTAATTATGATATGGGTAAAAGGGAGCATATTCAATCGATTTCCTATTTACATCATTTCGTTCGCCTAAAGTTATAGATGAATAAGATATAAAACAAAAACTGTAGCTCATCAAACTGTTCCAATCGTCTCCTTGCCGGGGACCAATGAAACATATACATGGGACAATTGAAACAGCATTCAGATTAGAGAAATATTTATTCTAATACAAAATAAATTATATCAATAATTAAAAATATTCATTCTGACAAGCAATTGTGACACATGTAAAGATCTTCTTGTCGAGTACATTCTTCGTGGGACCAGTGACGACATTCAATGCACCGCACCCATTTCTCTTCAGGGCAACTACAGCCATACGGTTCTAGGCAAACTAGACAGTAAGTTTCTTCTTCGTCGCTTTCACTCTGTTCCTGATTTTTTTGGCGTTGTTTGGTTTTCTTGAGCTGGCGAACTGCCTTCCGCATGTCTTTGAACTCCGTAACTTTTCTCTTAACTTTCCTTTTCTTATTTGCGTCATACTCCTCTTGAATTGCATTTTTTTCAGGAGTGTCCGTATAGATAGCAGATTTTCTAGTTTTTCGTTTGTAACATGTTTTCCTAGGCGGAGCTTTGGGCAACGGTCTAACGATTTCTGGCAAGAATACGGCCTTTGAAGTGCTTGGTTATGCGTCAGCTTGCGAAAATATGAGTTTTGAGATGCTTGGTGATGCTGGCGGAGTGAGATGAGTGCTTGGAGATGTTGATGGAGTGCAATGAGTACTTGGCGATGCTGGAGAAGTGTGATGAGTGCCTGGTGATGCTCCGTGACATACGAGGGAGTAAAATCAACTTCCGTGAATATATCTCTATTAAAGGGACAATATGCCAGTGCTAATCAATCCAGCTACGATATTTGACTGTGTGAGGGCTAACGGCAGAGCTAGTTTGACTATGCTTGGGATATCGTAAATTGTCATTGTTTTGCCTGGGTTATTTCTCATCCAGGCATCGCAAATTGAATTTACAGCCTTCTTAAAAGAACCGTAGACAGATCGATCTAGCGGTTGCAATTTGTGGGAACAATGTGGGGGGAAAGACAAGATGACAATGCCATTTTCTTTACAGAAGTCCAAGCATCATATACCTATGTGTGACTGATGATTATCAAGTAAAAGCAATACTTTATTTTCAATTAAAGCATTGGTGTGCTTTTGACAATGGTTGAGGTATATCAAGAACTCATCTTCTTGCATCCAGCCGCTCGCGTTTCCTGCTCCAATACACCACACTGAACCGTCACGGACGAAGTGATCCTTGTATCTCAACCGTAGGAATATGAAAATGGGGGGTACACTGTTACTGATAGCATTTACAGCTAAAGCTACGGTTACCAGCGTTCCTCTTTCTCCTGATGTCAGTGCGCCTACCTGTTTGGTTCCCTTTTCGGCTACTACTTTAACAGGTTTTTGGACCGTCGTGACCCCTGTCTCGTCGACATTATATATATCTTTCGATTCAAATTCGTACCTGTCCATAACATTAACTAGGTTGTCATAAGGAAGCTTTACATTCGTAACGTTGAAACTAGTTGCTCTGGAAAGACTTGTTGCTTGAGCGCAGCGGATTGAAAGTTTTGGATTGCGTTTCATAAATCCAGAAAACCAATCCTCTCCTGTCATGGCATTTTGTCTCCATGTATCAGGCATGTTCAGCGAATATTTCACGGCGAACTGAAAAGCTAATTTCCGAATTTCTTTGGGTGGTAATCCGTAAAATATATGCGCTGCTTTGATTATATAGCCAACAATAATTTTTTCCTGGTTCTAGTCAAATACTCGCCTCACACAATGATATCCCATAGTGACAGAAACAGCGGATTCTTGCTCAATCGCTTGCTTAATGCTTGCGTAATGTAGTTCATATTTAGCTGCTGCAGACCTTATCAAAGCATTATTTTCAGTAACCTCTTTCTATAAGCTTTTTCATATGCCAAAATGGATTTTAATCCTCTCTCAGTTCTTCTTACTCTTACTCGTGGCATCCTAAAACAAAAGTTAACACCTTAACATACCCTTACACAACCTACAATATGAACCACATGAAAAATTCACGACGGGGACAATTGAAACATGTTTCAATCGTCCCCCAAGTCATGTGTTTCAACTGTCCCTGCAGCACATTTTTGAGTGAACACTCAAATATTTTCTTACTCTTGGATTAGAGAGAGCATATACCAAACAAAGTAATAAATATAGTCGAAACTGGATACTTTCGTTTTTATCTCTTGTAACACACTTTTTCAATCAATGTAAAAGTTTACTTCGATAGCTGGAAATCAAGTTATCGTGGACGTGCACATACACTTACAACTGCCGTCAGTGGCCGATAGATGGCTACGTGCTTCATCTAATGGCGCTTCGTTTGGTATAAGCGCGCGTGATTTAAACCGCGAAATCGGCGGTTGTTTCTATTGTCCCCTGTTTCAATTGTCCCCGGTCTACCCTACACCTGTTTCCAACGCCATATTTCCGTCAAATATGATCGAAGAAGTGATACTGTGCTTTCAGTCATACCGAGATGAATCAGAATTGATAATAAGATATCATGATTGATTGTATTCACTACATGGAGAAGTGCCGAAGCGCAACTGTGGCCTTTTCTGAAACCAGACTGAATAATAGGAAGGAGTCTGTGGTTGTCAAGATATGCTTTGATTTGCTTTTTCATTATTTTTTCAATTATTTTGGACATCGTAGGTAGTATACTGATTCCACGTAGATCTTTGAAATTTTCTGGATTTTTTTGGTAACACTGTGACTATGGCACATCTCCATGCAGATGGAAATACATTACTGGAAAAACAAAAATTGATTATATGCGTAATGAAGGAAACAATTTGAGGACAACACAGTTTGATTATTTTCAAGCTCATTCCATCGCTTCCTGTAGAATTACTTTTGATTGAATTTATCATTTCATGAACAATTAACTCGTCAACACCTTTAAATCTGAATTCCGAGTTCATAAGGGGATCATTTTTGTAGAAATCTGAAAGGGTTGTTATGAAAAAATCATTAATTTCTTGAGGATTTTTCAAGTGATATGGAATGTTACTCTTCTTCTTCTCGTTCAAAATATTATTCTTCCTAAGAATTGACCACCGTTCTTTATCTGATGAGTGATTTAATTTGTGATCAAAAAAAGCCTTTTTTTCCTCGTTATTGCCTGATGCGTGTAATTTCTTAACTGTTTATAATAATCCCAATCTGTCTCACGTTTAGTATGCTTAAATTACATTTTCAGTTAACCAGGGTGCAGGGGGTTTGGTAAGTCTTTTCGTCACTAACGGAGCATGGAAATCAAATAATCTGATAATACTATCAACCAGAAATGAAACTTTGTCATCGACATTATTTAGGTATAAGAGATGAAAAAATGGTATTCTCGATAAGTCGTATTGAAATAAATCATAACTAAAGTTGTTATCATTTCTATATGTCACCATTCTGGAATTTTCAAATTTATAATCAGTTTTGATAACCACATATATCAATTCATGGTCTGCTAGGTTGCAATCGATTACCCCCTTATCAATTACCAATTTCTTTATTCAACACAATCACCAAATCTAACAAGATAGCAGTGGTATCTGTAATATGTGTAGGAGTATCAATTAATTGTGTGAGGTCGAATTCTTCTAGAATAGAAATAAATGTTTGAAGTGCATTATTTTCTAAATTAAGTAAGTTGTAATTGAAGTCTCCAGTGCAAATAACTTGTCCAACCGTAGGTAATAGTAAAGCGAGAGTATCTTCAAGCTCAGAACAAAATAATTTGGAGTCAAGTGTTGGTGGCCTGTATATAACTCCTATCGCGGTATCTTTTTTATGAAATCTTAGTTTAATCCAAATTTGTTCCAATGAGTTGTTAATATCACAAATGAGAAATGGAGAAAGTTTATCTTTAAGATAGATACAAACACCACCACCCCTGGACGATCCTTTCTGAACACCCGATATCCGTCAATATTAACTATTTCATCAGTTATATCTTTGTGTAACCATAAAAGTTCCTAAAATCAAAAATGGGTGTATTATGATGAAACTTATGTAGGTCCCTATGATTTTTGGTGGCAAAAAATGTGAAATCAACTCCCAAATACCACATCAATTGAAAATGATTGTTATTATTTCATAATTCACTTCATGCATGTACTTGTAATATGGTTTATGAGTTTACAGTGCTTAGTTTTGCGGAAAATTACTTTTTTTTCTTTAAAACGGTTCGTTTCAAATATTATTCAGGCTCTATTACAGGTATCATCAATAACTTTTGAGTTATATTGAAGAAAAGGGAATATTTTGCAAAATTACAAATCTGCTGTTTTCATTTCAAATAGATTTTTTTTCGAAAGTAATCACTCTCAAGCAGCATTTTGGAAGTACATAAATGAAGGAGTTGACGTTTCGTCCACCACTGCGTTAGACACTATTAGAGGCGATGAAGTAGAAGATAAGTAGAACCTGTGTCCAAATTTTGTGCAGATCGTTGTTGTTTGGCAAAATTACAATATTGCCGTAGTTCACCTACCTGAAAATTGGAGAATTTTGATAATATCATTCAAATCACGTATCGGCAAACAATATATAGTTTCTCCACGAACTGGGAAAACTTCGGTTCCACCATAATTGAGCAGACGTTAACAATAACTGGGACAGTATTAATGATTCAACATGCAAGACCTCCATTAATATTAATGCATTTTGTTGATTGATGGTATAGCTAATTTTTTCTAGCATAATTTATATTTTTACATATGCATACATGATTTGTGTGGCCGATTATTCTTTACATTCACAGAATAATCAATACTAATGATATATCAAAGCTATCAAAGGCACAGAAATCTAAGGATAATAATTCAGCATTGATTTTTTCAAGTAGTGAACTGGGCGAGTTTTGTTTGGCATGAACATAAATATTTATCTTCATCAATATTATACTTCACAGTGTGTTCTTCTTTTCAAATGTGACTTCTTGAAGTGCTATTTTCACCAAATTTGGTGAGTTGGTGAACCTTCGAATATATCTTTACTCAACAAATGGATTTGGATGATGAGATTTTTAAGTAGCTTGTTGTTTTACAGGTGAAATGTATATTTTTTGAATTGAACATCAGAAGTCAACATGAATGAACATTGAGAAAGAAAGGTTTTCGCTTTCCATTTCTTCATCTTCACACAAAGTTCTTTTCCAAAACAACTATTTTCACATGAACACTGGATCACACGAAAGAAAAAGAAATTTCTAAACAACTACTTTCATATGAACAGTGAGTTATAAGAAAACCACTCAAATCAAACAAACATTGATATGTAGAATTGAATTTTTGAATTGAAAGAGATATATTTTCAGGAGACATTATTTCAAGAAAAAGAGATTTTTGGTTTGAAACTTCTTCATCTTCTTACAAAAAAGCTTTATTTCTTTCTTTGGAAGATTCCCTACATTTCCCCCAACAATTCTCGTCTCGGGCAACACAACAAATCATCATTTTCGCGTTTGACGAAACGCAAGTGCTAATAAAAGTCGGAGTTACGATCCATAACTATATAAGGAAGCAATAAAAATTCAATAACTAAAACAGTTTCAACTGGAAGAAAGAAGAAATCAGTATTAATAAAATCTGGCGACCTGAACTAAGTTGCTCTCGTCATCCATGCTATTGAAAATAAATCATTCCACCACCAATTTGATGAAACCGGATACCCAATGTAATACGATAATATCTGACAATCAGATATTATTGTATTACATTGACAATCGGAATACTTTGTTTCGTTGCTTTTAAGAATGTCTACCGCAGTCGTGGACGAAATATCAAGCATATAGGCCTGCAGTCTACGGCTAGTAAATCTGGGAAACAACTATGACACAAATTCTAAATCACACTAGTTGACAGCCAATTTAGACTGTAATGCCAAAGGCAATTCTTTATTAATTTTTGGTAGCTAAATGCGAAAATGATACTAAAAATTTTCTAACACGTAAGATTTTTCAGTTATAATTTTTTTCACGAAAATTCAATGAACACGACATTTCAAATTTGATTTCCCTTGAATTAAGGAAATTGTTTGAAATCTGGCAACACAGTGGCTCTGTCCAGTATTCGAATCTGCTTCCGCTGAATATGAGACTTGTAACCCCGCTTCTCAAACTTCCGATACTCGAAGTTTCAAGAAAATACCAGAAATATGGAACCGCTATAAAAGTAGCGGTTGACAATCGGATCATCAATATTGGTTTAAGGCGAGTAGTGGTGAGCTAGTATTAGAGAAGCGAGGTGAGCAAACACGCGAATATTAAGAGTATTATATTAGTGTTATCTTTGTGAATAAAATAAGTAGACTTCATTGAACGCAGTATCACATATTTGAACTCGACGTACGCAACAGTAAAAAAATATCCCAAGAACAGATACGTGGCTGCGTTAATCCCGCAGATAGTGTTTGTTAAATATGTGGTCAATTTACCCCTAAATCGCAGAAATGGCCAATTAATCAAATGACCAAAGTAGCTTACCATTAGTATTTTGGATATGTTGTTGGTGATCAAGATCGGGATTGGGCTCCTCACGTATGTTGCCAAACCTGTGCAGCAAATCTAAGTAACTGGTTAGATGGCAAACACTCTTCTATGCCTTTTG